GAGCCTGTTTTGTGATGCATCATTTTTTGTATGTTCCTTTTTTCATTCATGTACACAACCCTCTCAAGGGGTTGGTGAGACATAACAGTAGTAATCAGAGAGAACTTCAGGGTTTGGGTATAAAATCAAACAAATCAGCCTGGTGGGATGTTAAATTGAGGACCGTTTCAAATGGAAGAAGGTTGGTAAAACAGTATGTGGCAGTGGGTTGTTGCTGTAAAAGGAGGGGGATCCTGGTGGTTGTGGTAATATGATCTGAGCCAGTTAGTTATGAATCTCCAGCTTCACAGATCAAAGCCCTGAACCTGATCTCTGCAGTTAGACGGCTGATCAGTGGGCGTCTGCATGTGCAGCTGACTGCAGGATCGGGGCCTGAGCTCATGCTTTTGGAGGATATTTACTGCATGTGTGAACAAGCTTCCTTGTCTCTTACCAACTGGATGGGTCCATTTTCTAGGCCTGCCAAACTTCCTCTTTCAAACGGAAGCCTCTGATTGCGTTAGTGTTTTTGTACCTGGCTGCAGTGAGGTCCCTGCTGGTGGGAGCACGAACTCGCTGTGACTGTAACCAAGCCACCCCAAATCAGTGCAGTCTAGGGTGACCAGATGTCCTGATTTTATAGGGACAGTCCCGATTTTTTGGGTCTTTTTCTTATATAGGCTCCTATTACCCCCCACCCCCGTCCCAGTTTTTCACATTTGCTGTCTGGTCACCCTAGTGCAGTCCCAGGGGGTTCTCTGCATTCCAGGACACCATGGAGCATACAAGCTCTGAGTGCTCCGTGTCTTCTGTATTTTCGTGACCTTTAAAATGGCTGAGCAGATGAGTTTTTTGGTGCTCCCCAGAAGGCTGTGCTTGGGTTGAGACCTCATGTGCCAAGTTTCAGCCCTAGGCACATTTTCACGGCTGAGTGTTAAGGTGTTCTCCCTCCCTCCCTACAATTCCCTGCAGATGCTGTTGACAGCATAGCTGAGCTCTGCTCTGAGCCGGGCAGGCGCTGCTAACAGTGAGCTGTCTGCACAACCCAGTTGTGATCCATTCAGGCCTGGGGTGACAGGGTTTGCTGCTGGTTGTAAATCACTGAGCAAGCCCCGTGACTCTCTCCTTCAGACCAAAGCTGAGCTGGGCTGCTGGGACTTGGGTGTCTTTCAGCATTTCTGACTGGAAAGCTTGGTTCACACTCAGATCCCATTTCCAGACCACCTGCTCCATGCAGGGCAATACACTAAAGCCAGAGACAAGCTGGACCCATGCTGATCTGAGAGCTTCTTCAGCCAACAGCCTGCCAGATGCCACAGTCCCATTCTGAACCAGTCAGTCCTACTGAGGCCAGCTGAATGGTTTCCAGGCGTGAAGTAGGGGACTGGAGGGACCTGGAGAGGCTTTGGAGCAGCTATGTCATTTGGAGACACTAGCTCCTGGGGGCAGACCTCATTAGCTGAAGGGTTAATGGCTTGCGCTGTATATGGCAGCAGATGTTTCATATACTGCCATATACAGTAACCCTCTAAAGTGCATTTCCTTATTACAAATTCTGCCTGATTAGCTTCTCTGTCTTAGGCTTGGTCTACACTTACCCCCCAATTCGAACTAAGGTACGCAACTTCAGCTACGTGAATAACTTAGCTGAAGTTCGAAGTACCTTAGTTCGAACTTACCTCGGTCCACACGCGGCAGGCAGGCTCCCCCGTCGACGCCGCGGTACTCCTCTCGTATAGCTGGAGTACCGCAGTCGACGGCGATCACTTCCTGGTTCGACTTATCGCGTCCAGACAAGACGCGATAAGTCGAACCCAGAACTTCGATTCCCAGCCGCCGAACTAGCGGCTGGGTGTAGACATACCCTTAGGCAGGAGCTCTGCCTACCTCAGCTAGGCGGGATCTGGAGGCAGCAATCTGAGTGCACTCTGCCTCTTGTTGCTGAGGGGAAATTCCTAGATTCCAAGGGACCACTGCAATCACCTTGTCCAACCTGCTGTGTAACAGACCAGAGAACTGCCCCCAGACAATTGTCTGTGTGACATGCGTGCACACCCTGCTGCTCCTCCCTGAGGAGCCTTGAGTGGTTCCCATCTGGGCCTTGGGCCGGACCATGCTGCGAGGGAGCAGCCAAGGTAAGGGCTCTTGCCCCCTCCTGGCCGTGCGGCAGACCTGTCTGCTGGACTGACCTTTCCACACCCTCCATCCCAACTGCTGCTGTCAGTGACCCCCAGCAGGTGGGAGGAGAGCATCAGCAGTCACGACTTTCTGGCTTTCACCACGGGGTGAAAAGCAGCTGCTGTTTATAATGCCTCCTCCTCTGCGCCAGGAGGTGCTGATGTGCCGTTGGTCTGCCACGTCCTGCTGGAATAGGGAGGGAGGCCCCCAGAAGCAGCAGCTCTTCCTCACCCCCAACCTAGCGGGTAGTGGTCTCCCCTCCTCCCTCCAATCCAGGGAGGGTTTTCACTGGTGAGAGCTGGGGTGGAAAGACCAGCTCTAGCCTATAGAGCTGCCCAATGGTCATGGCTGGGTGGGCAAAGGAGCCGAGGCCTTGGGGCCCTGAGCCCTGGCTCTGAAATCCTTGGCTAGTGGGCCCACTGGAGGTCAGGGCGAGGTGAGCGATCACTGCCCAACCTCAGTGACAGACAGCAGGTGGGTTTGTCACGCTCACTGTGCCGTGGCTGCTGCTCAGGCCCTGTCCCGGCCAGTGCAGTTGCAGTCTGGGTGCAGGACAGGGGGTGCTCACCGTCGGGGGATACTGGTGTTGAATCAATACCTTGCGGGCGCTGGAGGGCAGTGTGTAGAAACCTCCGTAGGGTGACAGGGAACATGACTCCCTGCTGGGAGTGATGGCTGCTCCGCTCTGAGCAAAGGCAGCACACTCCACCCCAGCCCCAAGAGCTTGGAGATGACAGGATCTGAAGTGGCAGCAAGTGGAAAGAAGAGTGGGGATGCTGGCATGGCGCTGGCACTCTGGCCAGCAGGAGGCCTTAAATCATAGGCGAGAATGACTCTGAATTCATTATGGGGCACTTATGTCCTAAAAGTTTTGTAATGTTTCACTTCCTATCCCTGTTACATAGTGCTGCAGCTCACGCCTGCCACTGCAGCTTTGCTTCCTTCTCTCAGTTGGCTGGCCCCCAGGCAGCATGGCTCTAGGCCAAGCTGGCACCAGATCTCCCCAGGCTGCTGAAAGCCATGCAACCTAGCCTTCCCCTCCAGAGAGAGGAAAGGTAAACTGTGCGGCTTTCCTCTCAAGCGAACAGGTGCTAGACAATGCAGATGAACCAGTGTTTGCAGGCGGGAGGAGAGCCAGCTATAGGAACGAATCTGAGAGCAATGGGTAAGGAAACTGAGCACTGTGACACTCATCAGATCCAGCCGTGTCCTTGGGGGCAGATCCAGGCACTGCCCCCTGTTCTGAGATGTAGCAGGGGGCCTGCATCATCCTAGCATGGCTTCTCTGGCCAGTACCACCTGTCATGCTGGTTAGAACGTGGTTGTAAGGGAGAATGCCCCTGTCTGCATTGATCAGGTCTATCCGTGTACTTGCAGGCCCTCGTCACGCTACAGTATCTGAGCACTTCAAAAATGTTAGTGAGTTCCACCTCATAGCCCCCTCCTTGCCTCCATGAGGTACGGCAGCAGGATCACCATTTGACAGATGGGAAATTGAAGCTCGGAGTGTGACTTGCCTGTGGTCACTGGAAGCCTTTGGCAGAGCAGGGAATTGGACCCACCCGGCTAGTAATAGCTGTGCTTAAAGAGTGGGGCATGCAATGAGCATGTATACGGTCTGGCTAGGATAGTATGCCGTGGTAGAGAGCCCACTCACTCACTCAACTCTACCTCCCCCATGATTGTGGTAGTCCCTGAAAGAGGCCAGCTGGAAGCAGTTACTCTGCTGTCCAGGGGTCGGTGATGTCTGGAGCCACACAGGGAGGGGAGAGGCATGATCGGCTTCCTGGAATGCCCCCGCCCCCCTATGGTTCAGAGTTTGCACCATGCCAGGGACGCTCCACTTAGTCTCGCTGTTCAACACCATCCTGGCCCTCATTAAGTGTCAGGCAGGACACCAGTTCTTGCAGCCTGCCTGGGAAAGACTTCTTGGACGTCCCTATAAGGTGTCTTGTGTGCAGGGGCCTTTCAAGCGGTGGAAGGGGGCTGTTTTCCAGGGGCAGACAGCTTTTCTAGGAGCTCAGCCTCCTGAAAGAGCGCTCTCTCCTCTCTCAAGGTGGAAGGATCCTCCCACCCCTTGTAACTTAGTCCTTGGGAGGGTCAGCATTCGTCAGCCAGTGGTGCATAAGAGAGCTGGGTGTGCTGTGGCTACTTCTCTGCCGTTGGACACACTGTGGCCTCTGCAAATCGGGCCCCGCTAAGGTGTCTCCAGCTGGATAGACAATGTCTCCAGTCACTTTGACAGTGCAGGGCCTAGGTGCTCGTTGCTTTGAATTTACATCGCTCCAGGGTGGGGATGAGGGCCCCGTGTTCCCAGCTCCCCCATCAGGCTGGCCCAGAGGCCTCATACTGCTCAGTATTCATATCCCCTATTCATGTCCACGTGTATGCTGGTGCAGTCCAGCCAGCAGTTTCTACCAGTGTGCAAGGCTTCCAAAGCCACCTGTGTGGGATCACCAGGGCGTATGAAGGGCTGGGGCATGCTGCACAGTGAGATTGAGCCCACTAAAGTCTGTAGTGCCAAAAGGCACCTTCCCTTTATCCCAGGACTCCCTGGAGAGCAGGGTCTACTACAGTACATCCCTTAGCAAGCTGAGTCTGTATGTCTCTGGGCTGCTCTGAGCTAAAGTGTCCGATGACCAAACAAGTGTTCGTAAGCCCAGAGGGCCAGACTCTCTGAGGCTCTGCTGCTGGGAGGCCTGTCTGGATGCTAATGTGGCAGCAGGTGGGTTACACCCTCCGTTGTCGGTAACCCCAATGACACCACAGCATCCCGCTGCCATGCAGCAATATCCAGTCAAGTACTGCAACTCATGGCTTTTCTCTCTCTCCTTTCTCTACAGGTGCAGGAGAGTCTGGGAAGAGCACAATCGTGAAGCAGATGAAGTAAGCAATGCCTCCCCTCCTTTGCTTTTGTTTCTGAATTTCAGCAATTGCCTCCCTATTTCATCCCACTGCAGAGTAGAGTGTGCGTTCTGCAGCCAGGGGCCGGGGGGGGGTGCCACATGGGTCCCGCATTCTGCAGCCAGGGGCCGGGAGGGTGCCATGTTCTGCAGCCTGGGGCTGGGGAGAGACGCATTTTGTATGAACTCTTGGGTGGGGGCGGAGTGTGGTCCAAAGCCGAAGCCTGTGATTCAACAAAAGTAAAGCATCTATAAAGCATGGATCAGTTTCCATTAGCGAGACCTCGAAAAAGCGCTTCCAGGGGATAGTTATGGCAGGCTTCTCCGCACTGCGGTTGGGTGATGTGATTTCCATGTTCTTAGGGCTCTTGTTTTAAAAACACCCTTTGTGTTTGAGTTTTTCATCTAAACAGCCAGGGCAGCCCACGCTATGGGGCTAGTGATCAGTTGGCATGGCAGCATCGACCACATCCAGACCCTACAGTGCCTGTTGTGTCATAGCCTAGCTGGCTGCCTGCCAAAGGCTGCTGACCCTGTTAGCTCTGTTGGGGAACTCAGTGTGGTCGCTGGTGTCTGCACTCTCTCTGCTAGCCTCCCGCTAAGCACACTGTTCCCCTGTTCAGTTCGCAGGGTGGCTTGTTCAGCTTTTCCCAAAGCCAACGCCAAACTGCCTGGAGGTTGGGCTGGAACTTCCCCAGTGCATTGGCCCTGGCAGAACTGCTGGTTAGAGGGCTGTTCCACGCTTGCCTCTAGCCAGCACCAGTTGCTTCCCTGTTGGAGGCAGGAGACTGGACTAGCTGGCCCACTGGTCTGATCCAGCCAGGCAGTTTGTATGTTCCTACATTGCATCCATTTGCTCGCAGCAAAACTGTCCTACGCTGGGTCTTTCGAAGGGACATGTATTTCCCACGCTGCCATGAACTCGCTCGAATGCTGTGATTACTTGTGCTGAAAAATGTCCTTGTGTCCCTAGTCCATTACCTTGGAGGTATGGGGGCAATGCTATGGCCGTTGCTCCCTGTGAATGCCCGAGAGACCTTTCCTGTTCGGTTTTACGATGAGTCCCCCTTAGCGTGTCTCGGGACAGAGCAGAGAATTGCTTTCGCTCCATGTGGTAGGACAGCACCTGGGAAAGCTGCTCTGAGCAGCTGAGTTCTTCCCCCATCCCATGCTCACACTTGGGGGAGTGCCATGGGCTCACTGTATTCCTGGGACTGGGCCGCAGTTTAGCTTTGGTTGGGGTTAGCAGTGTCTGAGGAGAAGGGACTCTTTGTTTATATGCTTGCTATTTTTGTCTTTCTTTTTAATAACACTGTTCAGTTTCAGCAATCCATCCATGTAAAGCTAGCAGCACCTCTGCACAGCCTTACAGGATAGCATTCAGACTCCACATGCTTTATGAATTCCGCAAAAAGATTAGGGAGGCAGAGTAGAGGATTTAAAAAACAAACCCTTTTGATTAAAACCTCCTCTCGTAGCCAGGCCCTCTAATTTTGGGCGCAATGCTCTCTCCGGCTGGCATGATGCACCCAGAACTTGCTTAATTTGAGCAAAACTTTACTCTTCTGGCAGCTTGGAGCAAATTGCCATTTGAATATTTCAGTGACTTGCAATTAAACATGGAAAGTGACATCAAAAATGCATATGACAGTGATTACATAAATAGAAAAGAGCAATGCTGAAAGGTATCGCACAAAGAGGATACACAAAAATGGTTTGCGTTGGGAGAGGCAGCCCAGAGACCCCTGCACAGCATCACAAACTAAAACCTCCTGATAGGAAACCACCCTGGTAAAAATCTGTTGCATAAGAATTGACAGACCCATTCCAGTCAGGAGGGAAAACGGTGATTGGCTGAACAGGGCCCTATCAAAATAAACAGAGGCATTCTCTAAAAGCAGAGGGAGCTGATTGTCAGAGGAGTGACTTACAAACTCTGGAGTTTACACCACACAGAGAGCTTTTATAATCATTCCGTTCAGATGGGCTGTATCTCCTTAATATCTGAGCATCCAGACCAAGAGGATGGCCCAGCTAAAGAACAGCCGAATCCCCAGTGGGCATAACTCAAGTGAGCATTCCATAGGAGAATTAGACAGAGAGGGTAGATTTCCTGCCTGGCCTGAAGAGAAGAAACTCTCTTGCAAAGACAGAGGAAGGTTGGTCTTGTGGTTAAGGCATTTGACCGGGTCTCAGAAGATCTCAGTTCAATTTCCAGCGCTACCAACAGACTTCCTGAGTGGGCAAATAACTGAGACTCTGTGCCTCAATTCCCCATTGGCAAAATAATCCTTCTCTTCTGCTCTGTCTAGTCCCTGCCCCAAAGAGCTGACAGTCTCATGCTATGTGATAACTAGCAGAGTGGGGCCCTGATTTTGGTTGGTGCTTCTAATGTTACTACAATACAAAAAGCTGCTACTCAGAATAATACTCAAATGTATGTAAAACCAGATCCTTTAGTTACATTGCGTGTGTCTGAGCCTCTTGCTGAAATGTGTTTGTGATCCCCTGTGGTGTGGGAGCCCAATGCAACAGATTGTTCTGCTAGATTAAGGTGGGGTGGAGACTAGAGTACAAGAAGAGCTGTTTTAATGAGTCAATAAAATGCTTAAGTTTTAAAGGGCTACAGAATCTGGCTATTTTGGGCATCTCTATGCTGTCAATCAGCACAGCGCGCTGGAGCTGAACAGGTTGGCTGCGTTTGCTCGATTTTATCCTGGCACATCCAGGCTTGAAAAATTAGTGGCAGGTAACAAACTTATGCCTGCCGGCTGGCTGGTCAATGAATGAGAGCTCTGCTGCAGGTGGAATTGATGAGCATCTGGTCAGTTTCACTGTTGCTATGCTGGCTAGTCATTTCAGCTGCAGGGAACCCAAGCAGAGTCTAGTGGATTTCAGTATTGCTGTTGGACAGCAGCAGAGGCACAACCTTGATCAAAACCAGCTGCTGCTGTGGGATGTCCCAGGCCAAGGGGGTCCCCGCACAACCAAGGGGTTGTGATCACCCTCTCTTTTTTATGGTGACTAATTCTTTCTTGTAACATGGGCTCATGGTAGGGAAACGGTTCAGAACCACTGCTCTGGGTGGTGGTTGGGAGAGAAGAGTCTCTTCTTCAGTTCTGCAAAAAAAAAACCACCCCCCATCTTCTCTCAGCAGCAGCAGCAGCTGACTAAACGTGACCAGAACCACGGTCAGTTTTATGGCTGCTGAGCTCACTTCAGGCAGTGATTCTGGAATTGATCAGCTGCTGTAGAAAGCTGTGAGAGGCTGAGGTCTGGGGATGACCAGTGGGGTGGGGGGGAGGTGGGGAGGTTCCTCCTTTTTTTTTTTTTTTTTTTTTTTTTTTTTTTTTTTTTTTTTTTTT